TGGATGTGGTTGTTTTGCACCTGTATAGAGAGCATGGATGTGGTTGTTTTGTACCTGTATAGAGAGCATGGATGTGGTTGTTCTGCACCTGTATAGAGAGCATGGATGTGGTTGTTCTGCACCTGTATAGAGAGCATGGATGTGGTTGTTCTGCACCTGTATAGAGAGCATGGATGTGGTTGTTCTGCACCTGTATAGAGAGCATGGATGTGGTTGTTTTGTACCTGTATAGAGAGCATGGATGTGGTTGTTTAACGCCTGTATAGAGAGCATGGATGTGGTTGTTCTGCACCTGTATAGAAGAGCATGGATGTGGTTGTTTTGCACCTGTATAGAGAGCATGGATGTGGTTGTTTTGCACCTGTATAGAGAGCATGGATGTGGTTGTTTTGTACCTGTATAGAGAGCATGGATGTGGCTGTTCTGCACCTGTATAGAGAGCATGGATGTGGTTGTTTTGCACCTGTATAGAGAGCATGGATGTGGTTGTTCTGCACCTGTATAGAGAGCATGGATGTGGTTGTTTTGTACCTGTATAGAAGAGCATGGATGTGGTTGTTTTGTACCTGTATAGAGAGCATGGATGTGGTTGTTTAACACCTGTATAGAGAGCATGGATGTGGTTGTTTTGTACCTGTATAGAGAGCATGGATGTGGTTGTTTAACACCTGTATAGAGAGCATGGATGTGGTTGTTTAACACCTGTATAGAGAGCATGGATGTGGTTGTTCTGCACCTGTATAGAGAGCATGGATGTGGTTGTTTTGTACCTGTATAGAGAGCATGGATGTGGTTGTTTTGCACCTGTATAGAGAGCATGGATGTGGTTGTTTAACACCTGTATAGAGAGCATGGATGTGGTTGTTTTGCACCTGTATAGAGAGCATGGATGTGGTTGTTTAACACCTGTATAGAGAGCATGGATGTGGTTGTTTTGTACCTGTATAGAGAGCATGGATGTGGTTGTTTTGTACCTGTATAGAGAGCATGGATGTGGTTGTTTAACACCTGTATAGAGAGCATGGATGTGGTTGTTTTGCACCTGTATGGAGAGCATGGATGCATTTTAAGTTTATCAGTGTTTTTCTTGTTCTTGAGAACGGATGATGTCCTAGCAGCTTCCGCCCTGCTATGCTGCAGTGCAGGACAGGAAACACACAATGTTTGTACCGAAATATATTATCTGTCTCTGATTTTAAAAGATAGAACGTCTCAGGCTCCCAGGAACACCTCTTTGCTCAACATTATCGATAGCCTTAATTATGATAGATCTGTCTGCAAACTGGCACTGGCACTGGCACTTCAGCGTACCTTTCTATCGTATTGTATCGTCGCCGTGTTCTTGTGTGTGTTTGGGGGGGCGCATCATTTTCTTTAATTCCCAGTTGGCAATGACACTGTCCTCAGGTTTTGAAGAAAACTGACAGAATCCATTCCAACATCTGCTTATCTTTGTCATGACAATGGGTAGGATATATCTTTGGAGAATCATTATCACTTCTCACTTGATTTTCCGTCCCTCCTCCCTTAATTTCGTCCTCCCTTCGGCATGCTCGCCACGTATTCAATTACTCCTGACTTGATTACATACTTAAAGTGCGACATTGAAGGGCAAATGGCTACTTACTTGCCAAAAGAAATCTATTCTAGTCCCACTTACAAGGCTGTTTATATATCTTGACTCAGGTTGGTCTCCGTATAACGACGGCATTGTCTTATTGGACTGTGTCTATTATAAGTTGGGTTAAGGTATTTGTGTGCAAAAACATTAGTGATTTTATTTATCATATCCCGTCGGGTAAACCCGATAGAACGGACCGTGGATGATCATATTGTCAGCCGTTAAAGATGACCTGTCAGATAACAGAACAAAGGGCCGTATTGGAGATACGTAAACACAATCAATTAGACTGTGACGGCTCTGACACATGATTAATGTCTGGACCCGGGTTTTTTAAGTGGAATAACTTAACATCAGTTTTTCCTGCATACATCATTATTCCTTACCGGCATAACTAATTGTTGCGGTTTTATTGTTCATAATCTCATTCTCAGACCATTCTGTCCAAATCTGTGGAGGGTCTGGGTGGTCCTATGCTGCGGATGTGGCTTTTGTAGCATCTTAAAAATGGGACACTGTCTTGTGTCTTGTACAGTGTTGTTAATATTACCCATATATGGCTGTTAGATTTATTGTTTTAAATTCTAATATAATAATTTTAATTTAGGTTTTGCCACAAGTGGGTGCAAACTGCATCAGTAACAGCAAATAAAGACAGACAGCTACTTATAAGCAAATTACATAAATCAAAAGGGGGTGAATTGGCCTTTCACTGTGTTGAATTAGTGTTAACATTTTGGCACACTGATTTAGGGCTATCATTAAGATATAGTGCCCCAGTATATACTTATCTCTCCAACATCTTTCCAATAAAGAGATGGTTTCTTTTTCGTAAGACCATCTGCTTGCTTGCTTAGATGTGTCATTATCTAATCAGTTGATTGAAAGTTGCACATCTGTCCATTTTGTTATTTACTGGGAATGTGTTTGTGAATGAACAAATCCAGCCTCGCCTCCATTTTGAGCCCTGTCTCTCAGTATTGTTATTTGCAAAAAGTAAATGATGACAGTTGTACAAATCCATGGACAGGTCCAACTTCAAGTGGAAGGTATTACTCCCTCGTTCATTAGCAGAAATGGAGTGACTGTACTTATTCACACATGAGTAACCATTGCATTACACCATTACATCATAAATGCTACTACTCCCAAGCTATCACTTTCTAACATTTTCATTTTTTTTTTTTTACAGTTTTCTTTAAAGGTAAGCGTGCTTAGATCATATTCTTAGTTGCAGCAACAACCTGGTAGAAATTAGGTTTAACTGTCTCGCTCAGGGACACTACAGAACAGCGTTTCTCATCTTGTCGCCTTGGTGATTAGAGCAACATTTTGTGTACAAGCCCCAAGGCTGTTGACCATAGACTAACCTGCTGCTCATCCTGTCTGAGTCAGAGTATGAAAAAATAGACAGACTCAGGAAATACAAACGCCCACCTCAATTCAGGGAATTTTAGATGACTGTAGATGACCATCATTCAAATTGTGTTTATGTTTCAGGCCATTAAAAGTCTTTCGAAATTCCAAGGCTGGCTGGTAAGAAGATGTAATTATCCCCTGTCATGTCATATTTCCTTACTGGTTTTCTGTCATGTTCCCCATGCTAGCTCTTGCTACTATTTCCTTACTGGTTTTCTGTCACGTTCCCCATGCTAGCTCTTCCTACTACTTACTTACTGGTTTTCTGTCACGTTCCCCATGCTAGCTCTTCCTACTATTTCCTTACAGGTTTTCTGTCATGTTCCCCATGCTAACTCTTCCTACTACTTCCTTACTGGTTTTCTGTCATTTTCCCCATGCTAGATCTTCCTACTACTTCCTTACTGGTTTTCTGTCTCGTTCCCCATGCTAGCTCTTCCTACTATTTCCTTACAGGTTTTCTGTCACGTTCCCCATGCTAGCTCTTCCTACTATTTCCTTACAGGTTTTCTGTCACGTTCCCCATGCTAGCTCTTCTTCCTATTTCCTTACAGGTTTTCTGTCATGTCCCCCATGCTAGCTCTTCCTATCTCCTTACTGGTTTTCTGTCATGTTCCCCATGCTAGATCTTCCTACTACTTCCTTACTGGTTTTCTGTCATTTCCCCCATGCTAGCTCTTCCTACTATTTTTTTAATGGTTTTCTGTCATGTTCCCCATGCTAGCTCTTCCTCAACATACAGGACCCTTGTATTATTCATTCAGCTCCATGTTCAATAGAGCAGTAATTGGGCTCCAACCACTGATATAAAGCAGATTCTATACGGCTAGAACTTCACACCTCAGCCTGGCTCAGCCTTCTGAACTGCTACCTGCCCTTGGACATACTGCGTGCTGTGCATCTGATTACTGCTACTCACGCTAATCCTAATCCTACTGCTACTCACGCTAATCCTACTGCTAATCACGCTAACCATAATCCTACTGCTACTTACGCTAATCCTAATCCTACTGCTACTTACGCTAATCCTAATCCTACTGCTACTCACGCTAACCCTAATCCTACTGCTACTCACGCTAATCCTACTGCTACTCAGGCTAACCATAATCCTACTGCTACTCACGCTAATCCTAATCCTACTGCTACTCACGCTAATCCTACTGCTACTCACGCTAACCATAATCCTACTGCTACTCACGCTAATCCTAATCCTACTGCTACTCACGCTAATCTTACTGCTGCTCACGCTAACCATAATCCTACTGCTACTCACGCAAATCCTACTGCTACTTACGCTAATCCTAATCCTACTGCTACTCACGCTAACCATAATCCTACTGCTACTCACGCTAACCCTAATCCTACTGCTACTCACGCTAACCCTAATCCTACAGGGTTAGATTAGTCCTTTTCTAACCGGTCCAGACATTTTAGTTCCTGAGATTTATAGTCTACGATAGTCCTTAACCCTCAGACTTTTACGCTCAAGCTGAGAAGATCGGAAGCTTTCCAATCAGCAACAAAAATCTGGGAACTTTTATGCAAACGGTTCTCTGGTTTTGGGCATGCCTGTCTTTTTCTCTGGTCAAGGTGTTATGGAGGGATTTTTTTTGCAATAATAGCAGCATCAGCTGTCTTCCTCCCAAAAAACAAATGCTAGAGTATCTGATGTGATGAAAGTCAGTCCTAAAATGTTCCTGTAACAATGTTTAAAACCATACAGAATAGAAATGGCCACACAGCGAACTGTATCAGCTGTATCTATTGTTAACCATTAGCACTCATATAAGGATTTGACCTGACCACAGACACAAAAGCACTGCATTTCTGTTTAAGAATTACTTATATTGTAAGCATGATTTGTATCATCTTCAGATTTAATCATACAAATTAACACATTTATGTTTGTAAGTTATATATACTGTATGACCAGGTAGGCCGATTGACAACAATTTCTCAGGGGAGATGCTGGCGATTGAACCCAGGACATCATACGTACGAAGGACCACTCTACCACTGAGCTACCAACTCCACCAACAAGCTTGTTTCACTTTTGCTTCAGCCTTCTCTGTATTGCATAGCATTTCTGATTATAATTCTGATGTTATAATTCCAGACCATCCCTGACCAAGTAACCCAGAGCATCAGTGGTCCACTTGAACAACTGTAGGTCACTGAGGTGGTAGCAGAAACAGTTCTTCCGATTGGCTCTCCTACCCCAAACTTGGATTGACCTCCAACTGTCCGTTCTTATATGAGCTAGTGGTGACCTGGCAAAACATAACCCCCGCCAACTGCACAGTATGTTCTTAAGTTTTGACATCTATCATAGTAGTTTGTTGAACTTCCCCTCCGTTTGGTAGAGAGAGGCATTCAGATAAATTATTTAATAATAATTAATTATTATTGGGAACTCAAAGCGCTTTTTACATGGAAGGAGGAATCTCCTCAACCAACACCAATGTGCAGCATCTACCTGGATGATGCGATGGCAGCCATATTGCACCAGGACGCACCGGAGAGAAGACAGTAAAGATGAAGCCAATTAGTATATATATGGGGATGATTAGGTGGCCATGACGGACAGAGGGAAAATTTGGCCAGGATGCCGGTGTTAAACCCCTACTCTTTATCGAAGGATATCCTGGGATTTTTAATAACCACACTCGGTTTAACATCTCATCCGAAGGACAGTGCTTTTTGACAGTATAGTGTCCCCATCACTATACAGAGGAGTTAGGACCCACACAGACCAGAATGCAGCCCCTTCTGGCCTCATTAACACCTTTTTCAGCAGCAACTTGGTTTTTCCAGGAGGTCTCCCATCCAGGTACTGGCCAGGCTCAGCCCTGCTTAGCTTAAGTGGGCAACCAGTCTTGGGCTATAGGGTGATATGGCTGCTAACCTGCTAACATCTCGATAGTAATTCCAGGTGTCTCAGAATATTTCTTAAAAATTTCTTCGATTCGCAGTTCAACTGAATGCAACCAAATGAGTTAATCCTGACGGTGAGTTACAGGTTGTAGTGATCTGGTACAAGTTTTCATCACTTCTCTTCAGGTGTGCGCTACTCATAAGTGCCTGAAATAATACGTAAATCTATCTTGACCAACAGCTCAAAAACAGACTTTGGCTCGATGATGTGTATTTCCGTCAGTGTGAGGAGTTTCAAAATAGATTCTTAAGACTTAACAGAGTTTCTCTTTAGAGCAGTGTTTCATCATCATTATTCTGTTTGCCTCTGAGAATGTAGAACGCTTGGATCTGTGCTCCATCTGGCTATCGTGACGGATGGCTACGGAGGACTAAATCAATACAAAATCCCTGTCATAACCGCAACATTCCGATTCACCTCTGCATTGTGTTTGTCGGAGCGAGAAGGCAGCGTGCTAGAGATCCGGTTCGAGGTCTGTTCCATTTCAATTCCAGTCAATTCAGGAAGCACAGTAAAATTCCAATTGTCTTCAGCGCCTTTCAGGGGGACATTGGAATTTAGTTTACTTTCTGAATTGGAAGGAATTGGAAAAGAATTGACCCCAAACGACTTGGATAGAGACAAGAAATGAGTGCCGAGAAAGGCGACCCACTGAGCAAACAACGTTGAAAAGACGTCTTCCTGGTTGAAAGTGCAACGAATAGTTGTTGAAAATATGTCTTTCAAATAGTTTTGCTCACTGGGTAGGCATTGATATATTCTAGCATTCTTGATAAAACCTGCATGCTAGGCTCACCTTATAGTTTATCCTCTTCAGTGCCATATTTTGATCCCTAGCTAGAAGCATATTTAAAGTTATTTGAATCCAAAATGGCACACTAACTCACACACACACACACACACACAGACACACACACACATACACACAAACGCACACACACACTTCTCATGCATTTGGGCTCGATTTTTGCACCAGAGAGTAGATACATTCTCAAGCTTAAAAAATGAATTACAGACTGATTATATGAATTTTCCAAGCGGTAATGGCTAATGTGTGTTTTCAGCACCACTGCCTTTTAACGGTTTCTTGCACCTCTTTGAAATTCAAGGGTGGAATTAAGTTATGAAAGGAAATGACTTGATGGAAAATCTTGCTGCTGCTTTCTGCAGAACGGAACAAACGTGTGAGGGGAATGCCATATTAAGATTGAAGCATTTGTAATTCCAGTAATTATATTTTGAAAATACAGCCACTTATTTACAGTCCTCCAAATCTATTCAATATTACATGTATTCAAACTTCATTCGGCATAATTTTAATTATAGTATATATGGCAATCATTTCTCTCAAGGTTTACACACTGTCTTTTCAATTTGACTAGGTGAGAAAGTTTTTGTTGTAAATTTTGAAGAGCTAGCCATGTATTTGTGTCACAAACTCTCTCCTAAGCCATTCTACCGCCATCTACAGGCAGGTTTCGGCGTTCGTTGTCACCGGTCTTTTAGCCACAAAGCTCATCCTATTGCCTATTATCTTGTCTCGTCATTACACACACCTGGTGTTCATCCCTTCATTAGTAAGAGTATTTAGGTTCCCTGTGTTTGGTCATGTCTTTGTGTGCAATTGTTACATGTTGTGTTTTCTGTATTGTGAGAGCTACATTTATTTCCATCCATCCTATGCACGTCGCGCAAACCGTGACAATTTTTAAAGAAACAGGTAAAAACAATGACCAAATTATCAAATCTATTATTGTAAGGTGACATTACGAAAGATTTGTAAGAGCAAAAATCCTGGTTGTGTTGGAGAAAGGGGGTCGGAGAAGAGTTTAGAGATGGGGCGACCTCCTTAGTTTGGGAGAAATGGGCAGTTAACATCTCCGTTGCCTGTCCACCCTGGTATCCGTGTCCCTCCTGGTCTCCGGTTTTGCTGTGTCCCCTCAGCGATGATGGCAGCACGGCTGGTTGATGCTTTTTCTGGGGCCTCCTCTTCCTCTCCAAATCCATCGCTGTTTCCCAATGCATGGCATTATTTCTCTGTTTCTGATCCTGAAATTCCTCCTATTTGCTCTCCGGGAGCCCCTTTAAACTTCCCCTGACGAGGTCTGGATGAGTTGCATCTGGGCACGGGAGAGGCGGGCTTTTCCGGCTGCCGCTGGAAGACTCGGGATATTGCCAGCCTTTTTTGGGGGTTGTTGGTGTGACACTGATGGAAAAAGGAGGGGGCTTGTTCACACCACAGTGATAAATATAGGAATACTGTTTCATCTTTCAGGTTGTTATGGAAGTAGGCACTTTATTACTACTGGTGCTTGCTACTGTCAGGGACGGCACTGTGTGCGGTGCTCCGGTCGTCAATACTCATTAGGAAGAAATACAGGCTGCATCAGGACCATTCTACAGGAATCCAAATGATTTTATCCCAATAAGATAAGATGTAATTACAATATTGACATAATTAACTCATTTTAATCACCTACTATTTATTGTGAACGTTAATGTGCACGTTGCTGTTCACTCTGCAATTTTGGAAATTGGTGTTTATGTCTGCGTATTGTCTGACACCGACTGGGTATTTATTATTGAGCCGGGCCTCGTTACGATGTTGCTCCATTTTATCTGGTTGCCCAGGGATGCGGCCCGGTAGCTCTGTAGGGAGTTCTCCGGTTTATGCACACTGACTGTCCTGATCTATCTGGCCCACAAGCCGGCGTCTGCTCCTGGATGGGCTCTCTAGAGTGAGTGGAAGAAGGAGCGGGATATTGGGCAGGAGATTTGACGAGTAAAATATAGAATTATTGTTTGCTATTTCTTTGCGCAGAGGGATGTCCGTGTGTTCTCCTGGACTCCAGCAGATACCACCCATTTGGAATGCAGGTGAGGCCGGGAGCTTGTGGGAGCTAGCTGATATATTTCTTCAGAGGAACTCAGGGACAGAGGGTTATCTTGGTCCACCAACAACCTGGATGTATATGGTTCTTGTGTTGTAAATGATAATGACACTATTGCATATTGTGCTTCATATAAAACTCGGACCACACTACCTCAAACCACACTACCTCACATTGTAGCGGTGTTGGGTCTGAGTATGTATGATGCTGGTAGTGTTGGTCTGTGTGTGTATGATGCTGTTAGTGTTGGGTCTGAATGATACTGTTAGTGTTGGGTCTGTGTGTGTATGATGCCACTATAACCGCCACTATAACCGCCACTGTAACCGCCACTATAACCGCCACTATAACCGCCACTATAACTGCCACTATAACTGCCACTATAACCGCCACTATAACCGCCACTATAACCGCCACTATAACCGCCACTATAACCGCCACTATAACCGCCACTATAACCGCCACTATAACCGCCACTATAACCGCCACTATAACCGCCACTATAACCGCCACTATAACCGCCACTGTAACCGCCACTATAACCGCCACTGTAACCGCCACTATAACCGCCACTATAACCGCCACTATAACCGCCACTATAACCGCCACTATAACCGCCACTATAACCGCCACTATAACCGCCACTATAACCGCCACTATAACCGCCACTATAACCGCCACTATAACCGCCACTATAACCGCCACTATAACCGCCACTGTAACCGCCACTGTAACCGCCACTGTAACCGCCACTGTAACCGCCACTGTAACCGCCACTGTAACCGCCACTGTAACCGCCACTATAACCGCCACTATAACCGCCACTATAACCGCCACTATAACCGCCACTATAACCGCCACTATAACCGCCACTATAACCGCCACTATAACCGCCACTATAACCGCCACTATAACCGCCACTATAACCGCCACTATAACCGCCACTATAACCGCCACTATAACCGCCACTGTAACCGCCACTGTAACCGCCACTATAACCGCCACTATAACCGCCACTATAACCGCCACTATAACCGCCACTATAACCGCCACTATAACCGCCACTATAACCGCCACTATAACCGCCACTATAACCGCCACTATAACCGCCACTATAACCGCCACTATAACCGCCACTATAACCGCCACTATAACCGCCACTATAACCGCCACTACCGCCACTATAACCGCCACTATAACCGCCAC